AGCAATTCCACTTTGAAGTATTTTTCCTAAGACAACTAATAGAGATATATATCTACTAGGATTCATTCGCTCATAATTTTTGATCACTTGTATGTCAGTCACTAGGAATAAAAGAGTGAAAAGACAAGATCTCTGCTCTCCTAGAACTTAGATTCTAGAAAAGCACGGCCCAATACAGCAACCATGAGCCACATTTGTCCATTGAGTTCTTGAAATATGGATGTCGTGACTGAAGAATGGAATTTTAAATTGTAATTAATCCAAACTTAAATTGTCATATGTGGCTAGTATACCATGTTGGAATGTGCAGTTCCAGAGCAGTGATTCTTAGAATGAAGTGTCTAGACCAGCAGCATCAAGCATCCCCTGAGAACTTAGGCATATTCTTGGCCCTGCCCTAGACATGGTGATTGAGAAACTCTAGGGTGGGACTTGACATTCTGTGTGGTTATTAACAAGTTCCCCCATGTTATGCTAATGTATGCAGAAGCTTGACAACCTCTGTTCTAAAGGAAATTTGTGAATATTGTTATACTGTCAAATAATTGGAAACAATTTGCATGTTTACCTGTAGGGTATTTGCTAATGAAATCATTATGCATTTATACAATTATATACTGTGCATCCATTAAAGATACTATTGTATTTATTTATTGGTACGGAAATTGCTCGTGATGTATTAAGAAAAAGTATGTACATCGCACATCTAATTCTGCCTATATATATAAGCAGAAAAGATGTCAAGTAATATATACCAAATGTTGGGGAATGATGTTACAGATGATTTTACTTTTCAGAATAATGAAACTGACAAGTGAATATTCTTCTTTATGCAACTCTGTATTTTCTAATTTTTCTACAACAAAAGTTAATTTTAAGTAAATAAGAGATATTTATAATTATTTTGTTAGGGTTTCCCTTTTGTCAATCATGTAGGGTTCTGTCTCTGGGAGAATTTATTTTTTACTGGGGTTCAGTTTTCCATGTTCATTATTTCAAACCTTGTCATGTGATACTCATTTGTTTTTCATTTTCTGCTTTTTACTTTATCTTTTAGTGATTTGGTAAGCATTATATTCATATGCCTGTTATATTTCTAATTTTCCATGTAGCCTGGAGTAGGAACGAAAATTGCTGAAAAAATTGATGAGTTTTTAGCAACTGGAAAATTACGTAAACTGGAAAAGGTAAAATTTTAACTTGTTTACTTCATTGATTATAGTGTCTGCCATTATGACCACTATGTAACTGTAAGATATATAGCCGAGTTGAAATGAGGAAACTGAGGCCAGTATACGAAAATGAAAATCCAATTTATTCAGCTCCCGGGCGAGGTTCTATGGTCCAGGATGGGGCCAGAGAAGTCGTGCTTAACTTCTCAGGGCAGGGGGTTTTATAGGGGTCAGAGGTGATTGATCGGATATTGGGAAAACAAAGCATAGGCAATTTCATTAGTTGTTGGGAGACAGGGCCCGGACAGGGCGAGCCGCTATAGGTAGGGAGGTGGGACTTATTGGGGGTGGGCTGGCTAAGGATGTATGGGGCAAGCTGCCATTGTGTAAGGCTTGGTGGGATTTTTAAAAATTTTGGCGGGTTCAAATGCATAGTTTAGTGCTGAGAGTGCATAGTCTAGTGCTGAATATAGATCTGGAAGCAGAATGCAGAAGTGGGTGAGGGGAGCCCGCATGGAGAAGCCAGATGCTGAGTAATGTATCCGGACTGATAATGCTGTTATCAGACATGGAGATGGGTGGATGTTGTCCATCCGGCTCCCAGCGAGGCTGTCGACCTTACAGTAATGTCATTGCAGGGTGACTGATGCCATTCACTCTAGTGAGACTCACAAGAAAAGAGATGAGTGGAGTTGATGGCTTTAACTATTCTATCTTTAAAATTTTGAATATTGTTCTATAAAATGTCCACTTGTTTTATGTGGCATTCAAGAGATTGTTAGCTCATCATTTTCAGTACTATTCAGAAAAGAGATTATAAACTTTGACTAAAAGATTGTTATCTTTTAGGATTTTCTGTGTTTAAATTCTCCCAAGCATTTTTATGGTTTTATTTCACCCCATGATATAATTATATCACTTCTGATCTGTTATGAATAGACCTTTTTAAAAGTATTGGATAAATTAGAGAAGAGACATCTTCAGTTACTCTGTTATTCACCTATAACTCCCTAGGTTACCTGTGAATAATTTTGTGTGGATCATCCAGGAAAATGTAGATGCTCCTTCATGTCTTTTAGCAGACTGTTAATGTTTCTAATAAGATCATTTAAGTCCTCAAATAATTATAGTTAGATTTTCTTTTCTTAAAGATTCGGCAAGATGATACAAGTTCATCCATCAATTTCCTGACTCGAGTTAGTGGCATTGGGTAAGAACTGTTTTTTAAGCAGACAGTCATCGATTGGTTTTATTTTTCATGTTAGCCAAAGTAAATTACATGCTTTACATGCTGTTTCTCAAAACCTGTACTTCTCCACCTCTGTACCTTAGCCGTACGGTTCATCCTTCCATAGCTTATGATCTGAGGCCAGTTCTTCAGACAATGCTTTCTACTGTAAAAGCCCCATCCAAGGGATATGTTACCTCCTTCATGACACCAGTTTGGTTCCCCGGCCGAAAGAACCTCTCCTTCCTCTAAACTGGGCTACCGTTTGCTCCATGTGCATCTGTTGCCTGCTCCAGCTTGGCTTCTTTCATTTCTCTGAGCATATTTGTTACAGCACCTCATGAATTTGGAACAAGCCCTCAAGTTTTTTTATTTTATTTTTATTTTTATTGAGACAGGGTTGCTATATCACTGTTGCTGGTCTCAAACTCCTGGGCTCAAGTGATTCCTCCTCCTCAGCTTTCCAAGTAGCTTGGATTATAGGTGCACACTACATCGCCTGGCTTCAAACATTTTATAATGAAGAGATTACTATCTTAAAATTTGAGTTAGCACCAAGGGGGGCTTTTTTGACACTGGCTGAAGTAAAGATTCACATTGAAATATTAAGACTGTAGTGCTCTCGTCTTTATGGAATGGTGCATTCTTTTGAATATCATGATTCGTTCTTTAAGTGGCAGCATTTTCAGTGAAAGTTATTCTAAACATAATATTTTTTTTGAGACAGTGTTTTGCTCTTGTTGCCCAGGTTGGAGTGCAATGGTGCAATCTCAGCTCACTGCAACCTCTACCTCCTAGGTTCAAGTGATTCTCCTTCCTCAGCCTCCCAAGTAGCTGGGATTACAGGCATGTGCCACCATACCCAGCTAATTTTTTGTATTTTTAATAGAGACAGAGTTTCTCCATGTTGGTCAGGCTGGTCTTGAACCCCTGACCTCAGGTGATCTGTCCGCCTCAGCCTCCCAAAGTGCTGGGATTACAGGCATGAGCCACTGCGCCCAGCCAACATATTAAATTCTTAAACCTAGTATATTGAAAATGATGGCCAGGCATGGTGGCTCACGCCTGTAATCCCAGCACTTTGGGAGGCCAAGGTGGGCGGATTACAAGGTCAAGAGTTCAAGACCGTCCTGGCCAATATGGTGAAACTCTGTCTCTACTAAAAATACAAAAATCAGACAGGTTTGGTGGCAAGCGCCTGTAATCCCCGCTACTCGGGAGGCTGAGGCAGAAGACTTGCTCAAAACCAGAAGGCAAAGGTTTCAGTGAGCCAAGATTGTGCCACTGCACTCCAGCCAGGGTGAAGGAGTGAAACTCGATCTGAAAAAAAAAAAAGAAAATGAGCATGACTCCTTGGGGACTGAAGGCCATTATAAAATTTTCATTAGAAGAATTAAAAAAATTTTTTTTTCTTCCTAGAAATAGAGTCTTATTCTGTCATACAGGCTAGAGTGCAGTGGTGCTATTATAGTTCACTGTAACCTTGAACTTTTGGGGTAAAGTGACTCTACTGCCTTGGGGGAGAGTACTCTTTCAAGTAGCTCAGACTGCAGGCTTGCACCACCAAGTGTGGCCAATTTTTATATTTTTTGTAGAGAAGAGGTCTCTATATATTGCCTAGGCTGGTCTTGAACTCCTGGCCTCAAGCAGTCCTCCCACTTCAGCCTCCCAGAAGTGCTGGGATTATAGGTGTGAAACACAAGGTGTTTTACAGAGCATCCACTGTCCTTTTTTTTCTAGGCAAGAGAACTGAAAATTGAATGTAGAACATGAGTAACGATGGCAGAGCCAGATTTGAACCCATATCTTCTGACTCCCAGTTCAGTTTTGTTTCTTCTATGCTGCTTTGCCTTCCTGACATCAGTATCAGTTTCTGTATCACAAGGCAATGGTGTTTGCATAGCTTTCTGAATGATAGAGGCTTATTTGTCCTGAAACACTGTGGCCTTAGACTATTGTGCTTGTGTTTATATGTGTGTGTATGCATGTCTTTCTGTTACTTGCTCCTGCTTTATTATGCTATAAACTGATACAGTGAGAAGAGAGTCAGGAAATCTGGGTACTGGTCCCAATGGTAGCACCAGCTTTATTTGTAACCTTAGCTAGTCGCTGTATCTTTCTAGGTTTCAGTGTCCTTCCTTATGAAATGAGAGAGAAGTTGGGCTAATTGCTAAGGTTCCTTGTGCCCCCCTCCTATATCTTCAATCATTTCTGACGTTCTGATTTATTTATATGAACAAAGTGATCTTTAGAAACCTAAATCAGATTTTTTTTTTTTTTTTTTTTTTCACAAAAGCACTTTTTATTTGAGGCAAAGAGAAGTCTTGCTGAAAGGATTACAGTTCCAAGCAGTCAAAACTCAGCTGTTAGTGGCACCATTTTGACTTGGCAGATTTTGCTTCTCTTTGGTCAGAAAGGGTATTCAGGTTGTACTTTCCTCAGTGGGGCAAAGAGAAGGGCAAAGCAAACTGGAAGAGACTTCTACTCTATGGGCAGGCCTCGTGAGATATAACATCAAGCCAGACACGCTCTCGCTGGCCACTCTATAAGCTGTCCCACTGCTGAATGACACAGGCTATACTACATTTGCAAGGAAAAAAATGAGTCAGGAAACAGGTATAGGTCACTCAGGGATGAGCAGGCATCCACAGCTTCAAAACTCTTCATGGAAGGGGTAATCCTTGTGGGAGACAGTGCTCACCAAGGCACAGACCCTCCAGTTCCTGTTGTAGCCGAGTAAGGTGGTCATATCCTCGCTGCTCAGTTCAAAGTCAAAGACCTTAAAGTTCTCAGCAATGCGTTCTGGTGTCACAGACTTGGGGATCACCACCAAGTTCCTCTGCATGGGGAACCAGATCAGCACCTGAGCTGTGGTTTTATTGTGCTTGTCTGCAATCGCCTTGATCCTGGGATCCTCCAGGAGGGAAGGGTCCTCGGGCTTGGCCCAGGGCCTGTCGGGAGAGCCTAGGGGGCTGTAGGCGGTCACCACGATGCCTTTGGACTGGCAGTACTGGATTAACTTCTCCTGAGTGAGGTATGGGTGGCACTCAATCTGGTTAACTGCAGGCTTATACTTTAAGCCAGGTTTGTTTAAGATCCTCTCCACCTGGAGATGGTTGAAGTTGGAGATGCCAATAGCTTTCACCAGCCCTTCATCCACCAGTTCTTCTATGGCTGCCCACGTGTCCAGAATGTTGGTGTCACTGGGAATCACATTGCCTGACTCATCCAATGGGAAAAATTCCTTCCCAGGCTTAAAGCCAGTTGGCCAGTGAATAAGGTAGAGGTCCAGGTAGTCCAGTTTCAGGTAGCTGAGCGTCTTCAGGCAGGCTCCTTTCACCAGGCCCTTCTCATTGTATGTGCACCACAGCTTGCTGACGATGAACAGCTCCTCACGCTTCACCACCTGCTCCTTGAGCTTCTCCTGAATGGCTACCCCCACCTCATTCTCATTGTGGTACACGTGGGCACAGTCGATGTGGTGGTAACCAACGTCGATGGCCACCTTCACAGCCTCGGTCACTTGGCCTTCCAGGGGGACTTCCAGGTGCCCAGCCTGAGGATGGGCATCTTGGCGCCGTTGTAGAGCACGAGGTGGCCCGCCATTGCTGCTGCGCTCCCCAGACCACCGCCCAGAACCTTACGCCTAAATCAGATTTTATCATTGGTTTGTGCAGTGTCCTCTAATAGCTTTCCATTACACTCAATGAAATCCAAACCTACCACTACAGTTCTAACAGCACAATAGAATGTAATACCTGTGTACTGCTCCATAGCACCTTATACCATCACTTAAATCTATGCATCCTAGTTTTTCTCTTCTCTTGAGTAGGCCAAGCTTATGCCAGCCTTAGGCCCTTGCACTTTGCCTGAAATGTTTTTCCCATTGATCCCCTGTATAGCTGGCTCTTTAGTAATTCAGACCTCAGCTTAGATATCATCTCAAAGACCTTCTACCACTCAGTCTAAAGTAGGACCCAGCCACACTGTTATATCATCCTATTTTAATTTATCCACCTAATATTTTTCTTGTTTGTGTATCTGTTGTCTCTGTCTACCCACTTACATTCTTATTCCTGCTATATTTTCAGCGCCCAGGAGACTATGTGGCACATAGTGGCCCTCAGTAAATCTTAGTTCAATGAATGAACAGTTTTCAAGTGCCATCTGTACATGAGCCCTATGACAGCAGCCGCTTAGACATCTTTTTCATGTGCGAGTTCATAGTTATCTTCCTAAAAATTGAAGTTTTAAGAATTAGTACTTTGGATAAAGTTGAATATTGCCAAAGTAGCCATGTAACATTTTAGCAGGTCTTGTTTAGCTTAATAGCAACTCTTCTTACTATTAAGACAGGGTTGTTACAAGTATCCCAAGTTTCCCCCAATATTGAGATAATGCTTTTCTTTTTGTAGTCCATCTGCTGCAAGGAAGTTTGTAGATGAAGGAATTAAAACACTAGAAGGTGAGTATGACTGTAGATCATTAATTCCAGAAGGACCATTAACACTCTAACAAACTTCAGCTTGAAAAACACATTCTCAATTGGTAGATACGAATGATAAGATTTTCTTTTTAACTCTCTAGTAGAATAGATATAGGGTATAGTTTATATTACCATCATAAACATTTTTAGGTTTGTAAATAACTCAGAGAAAACTAAGAAGACCAAGACCCAGTACCGGGCATGGTGGCTCAAGCCTGTAATCCCAGCACTTTGGGAGGTTATGGCGGGGAGATCACTTGAGGTCAGGAATTCACAACCAGCCTGGCCAAATGGCGAAACTGCGTCATGGTGGGTGCCTGCAATCACAGCTACTTGGGAGGCTGAGGCAGGAGAATGCTTGAACCCTCGAGACAGAGTCTTACTCTATCGCCCAGGATGGAGTACAACTCCATCTCAAAAAAAAAAAAAAAGAAGATGAACAACAACCAACCTCTTGGCTTAAAAGCAACGAAATAATTATCATTTGAAGATTTTTCAAATATCTAAATTGCTTTTGTTTCTTTAATAAAATTTTAGGCAATAAAGTCTTACATCAGATTAAAAGCTAAGTTATATATTATTGAGAAAGATTCTGTAAGAGATTTGTAATGGTAATTTAAAAAAAAATTTTTTTTTTTATTTTTTTGAGACAGTTTTGCTCTGTCACCTAGGCTGGAGTGCAGAGGTGCGATCTTGGCTCACTGCAACCTCCGCCTCCCGGGTTCAAGCAATTCTCCTGCCTCAGCCTCCCGAGTAGCTGGGACTACTGGCACTCACCACCACACCCGACTAATTTTTTTTTTGTATTTTAGTAGAGACCGGGTTTCACCATGTTGCCCAGGCTGGTTGTGAACTGAGCTCAGGCAATCCGCTTGCCTTGGCCTTCCAGAGTGCTGGGATTACAGGCATGAATGTAATGCTTATTAAAGAAATTTTTGCTTTCAAAGAAGTGATAAAAATAGAGCCTAACAAGTAATTATAAAATGTTTTCCTATAGTAATCCTTTACATGTAATTCCATGTAAAATGCTTTAGCATCTCTTTATGCTTTTCCTGGGTATATATAGACATACAAATTCATTACAGCGTATCCATGGTATTTCGGATTCCGTATTTGTGAGTTCAGCTTTTTGCAGGCAGCCCAGTGTTTAGGTAGGCAGGTTTTGGAGACTGACCTGGCTTTGAATCCCATCTCCACTGCTTTATTAGAGTGGGATGACCGTGTTGCTTCAGTTTCACACCTACAAAATGGGTATTTGCGCTTCATATGATTAAATGCAACAATACATGTAAAGCAGTTAGCGGAGTGCTTGGTACATAGTAAGTACTACTTAAAAATGGTAACCAACTCTTATGTGGCATGATTAGTAATAGTACTAAGTTAAGAATTTGTATGAGCCACATTGCTAGAGAATAAACTCTACATGTGCATCTCTAGAGGGTTTATACTTTGCTGCTTGTGGTGTAGACAGCTTATATGAGAAAAATGATTGGCTAAAGGGGTCATGAATCTGTGGTTTTCTTGGAGGTAATGAGTTGCATCTCTTGGGAGTGTCAAGGATCTGCTGTTCTGTTTTTTATATTTCAAAATTCACAGATATGTAATATAACTATCGATATCTATAACTATATATATCTATATAATACACTCAGTATTTCCACTTCAGGTTTAGTCATATACTTTAGCATTTTCTGTGTGCACACAACCATAGGAAATATCAATTGGTTTATGTTCCATAAAGATGCTTATTTTTCTGCAATTTATATCTCCAGAGGGAATGTGTGTATTTGTGAATATAAGGGGGCTTATAGGCATTGCTTTTGAAGCGTGCTTATCTTGCTATTTCTTTTTTTCCTCCTCCCCCTTCCCCCTTGCTATTTCTTTAACGAGGCTCACAGCTGGACTCATACCTAGTAAAGGAACACCTGAATGGAACTAAGTCACTTTTTACACTTAATATGTGATGTTCTGACAATTTTTAAGTTAAAAAAATGAAGATATAGTAATAGTTTTCCTTTCAACAGGATTTTTAGCACAATGCCTGCACAGATCTAGTACTCTGTACTAATGGAATGAAAGAGTGCATGAACAAATGAACAATATAAATAAACCTAGTTAATCAGAAAACATTTAGAAGTTGTGGTTACTGCTCTTAACAATAAATTAAACCATATTGGTTCTTATAAGGTTGTTTTTTGCTATAGTCAGTAAAATTTGATGTGATTCTGGTTTTTTTGTTTGTTTTTGTTTTTGTTTTTTGAGATGATGTCTCACTCTGTCACCCAGGCTGAAGTGCAATGCCATGATCTTGGCTCACTGCAGTTTCTGCCTCCCAGATTCAAGTGATTCTCTTGTCCCAGCCTCCCGAGTAGCTGGGATTACAGGGGCGCACCACCACACCTGGCTAATTTTTTGCATTTTTAGTAGAGATGGGGTTTCACCATGTTGGCCAGGCTGGTCTTGAACTCCTGACTTCAGGTGATCCACCTACCTCGGCCTCCCAAAGTGCTGAGATTACCAGCGTGAGCCATTGTGCCTGGCCTGATTCCATTATGTTTTATATACTATTTTATTATATAACTCTAGTTAAAATTTTGTTCAGTAAATAAAAAGGACCATGAAATCAGCCTTTAGGTTTTACTACGTTGATTTGAAGAGTCATTTATATCTAGCTCTTCATATCTGAAATTTTTGTCTCATTGTGTTTCAGACATTTCAGTGTATTTGTCCCCCAGGTGGTTCTTTGTAAAAAGGGTCATTGAGTTTAGCATTTTCCCCCAAAAGCATTTGAATTAACATATCAACTTTATTTATCTTCTATACAGATCTCAGAAAAAATGAAGATAAATTGAACCATCATCAGCGAATTGGGCTGAAGTAAGACAGCAAATTTTCTTTTGATTCTTGAGATATAAAAGTAAAATGTTTATAGACATTCTTTTATACATCACAAGGACTCTTCAAACTTAGCTAAATCACAACCATTTTTCTATTCAGAAGTGCTAAGATTTGTGGAATTTGTAGAGTATCTGCCTGTGTTCACACAGTGCTTTCGCTTTTGCTTTCTAGTTTATTTGTTTTAAGGATTTCTCTAATTTTTTTTTTTAACTTTAACAGGGAACTTCCTTTTAAAATATCTAGGACTGAGTGTATCAGCCAATCAGCAGGTGTTTATTTTATGCTCACATTGTACAAAGCACTGCACTAGGTCTGGGGTAAAGATACAGAGGTTCAGTGTAGATTTTAAGGAGTTTATAATCTACCTGAAAATAGGACATGACTGTGGAAAACTAAATTTAAAAAAAAGGAAAAACCTCACACCTAAATAACCATACAGGAATAACTAGTAGGCATGTTTCTATATCAGCATCAATAATTGTTTTGTGTGCCAGATATACTTTGGGAACCTGCTTTCTAATTATTTATAGTTATAATACATAAGCATGCTTTCTAATTATTTATAGTTACAATACATAAGCACTCTATGTATCTCTTCTGGCATTTTATAGTGTTGGTGGTGAATCGGTCCTAATAACCTTTTGAATTTTCCTGTTGATGCTTTATCATAATAATTATTTTTTTTTTGAGATGGAGTCTCACTCTGTTGCCCAGGCTGGAGTGCAGTGGCATGATCTTGGCTCACTGCAACCTCTTCCTCCCAGGTTCAAGTGTCTCTCCTGCCTCAGCCTCCTGAGTAACTGGGATTACAGGCATGCGCCTCCACACCCAGCTAATTTTTGTATTTTTAGTGGAAATGGGGTTTCACCATGTTAGTCAGGCAGGTCTCGAACTCCTGACCTGTTGATCCATCCACCTCAGCCTCCCAACATGCTGGGATTACAGGCATCAGCCACCGCACCCAGCCTGCCATAGTATTTTGAACTTATACTACCATTCCAAAATCTTGAGCCAGAAAGAGACCAGGATGGTATGGTTCTTGCTTTCCTGGCATTTCTGTAGTAAATGGAGGTCTTTTGAAGAACTGGTTTGGTTAAGAATTGTCTGAACAAGCGCTTCAACATGCTGAAGCATATGCTTAGACGTTGTTTCACACTTAGTTAATACACTCTAACAGCCTTATTGAGATGTAATTCATACATCCTATAATCATCTATTTAAA